TACGACATTTGTGGGGTACAGCAAAATGAGTCGAATACTATGTCATGATTAATCAAAACTACAGACTTTTATAATACAATATACTTTAAAAAAATCGAGTGTATGTTCCTAACTGTTCCTAATAAATTGCAATGTAGCACAGTAGTATTCATGAAAGTGTCTCGATCGGAATCTATTAGCCATTACGAACTTGATGAGTGGACTGGGGGCGAGTGTTAAACTGAGTGTTAAAAAGTACCAATCTCATTCCCCGAGCCTGCGATCCTCGGGAAGGAACGCGAGGCTCTGGGATAATCCGTTTCAGGGAGGAATCTGATTGGCCATTGAAATGGAATGCGTAGTTCAATCTTAGCCAGGATTCTTGGCTTCCGGTAACGGTTTATCCCAGAGCCTTCGATTCCTTCCCGAGGATCGCAGGCTCGGGGAACGAGATTGAAAAAGTACCAGAATTAAGAAAGTATACAAAGTTTGAAGATGTTTACTTGAATATTCTTCGAATAATAAGCTTTCGAAAATCGTGACATTTACTATGAAATGTATTGTAATTATTGTTTTTAGGACGTGCGTCCCCGAAAACAATCTTTTAGTCAGTAATTTCACAATTTTCGAAAGCTTATTATTCGAAGGGTATTCATGTAAACGTCTTCAAACTTTGTACACTTACTAATTTTGAGGTGGTCTTTTTAGTGATCATTTCTTAATTTGGGCACTTTTTAGACACTCGTCCCCAGTCCTCTCATCAACTTCGGAATGACCGATTAGTAAAACTAAAGTTTGGTTAGTAAAACTACTCTACAGCACTTTTTATATAGAATACTAACACAGTTTGGATAGTATTTCAAGAAAAATACGAGGTATTTCGTCATTTAATCGAAGACAACAAATATGAAAACAATAAAATTCAATAAAATTACAAAAACAAGTACGTATTTAGTTCGCTTCATCTCATATATTTATGTCTCTTTTTATCTAACAAAAACAGAAATTTTCAGGGAAAAATGATAAATCTGTGGCTGCTTTAGTTGTATTTTTTATTTAGGATGGTGTCAAATTCCTCCTGGCTATCTGCAAATAAAATTTGCAGCTCTTTACATAGTCAAAACACAACTATTTCTGACTGCTTTTATAGTTATAAACATTGTAAAATTTACCTTGTAATTTTGACTTTCGCTAACAAAAACGTATTGATAATGTTCTTTAACAACAGCAGTTTTTTATTTTAGGTTTATTTTTTTATTTTAGGTTTAGTTTTATTCGTTTTGAATAGTTTTGAAAGACTTTTAGACACTTTTTGCTGTTTGAAACTCGGCTCTCGTCGCAGGGCAATAAAAATTGCGTATTGCCCGTGGGCAATACGGGAAAATCCTGCCTCGTCAGCAGCCAATCAAATTGCGCGATTCATCTAAACAAATGCTTGCCATATAATAAAATTAAATATTTCAATACAGACAATTGATTGCAATAATTTGCAAAACAGTTATTTGTCTTATGTTCTTGGGGAGAGTGTGATTGGTTGGGTGCGCGGAAGGGGGGGGGACGAAACATTTATTCTCCTTTGAGGGAGGTATTAAATATTTTCCGACGCTTTTCGGGGGGGTGCCAAATTTTATGGTAGTATTTTGGAATATCATCCCCCCCCCCCAGTACGCATACTTTATGACCGGTCCCTTAGAGATATGGTCCCATAATCAGTCTATTCGCTGCACTGAGAATTTCAGGACACAACCGGGTGTAAATGTATACATAGCCCTAACGTATTTTTCCCTTTCACTCTTTCCTACAGTCTCTTTTTCGATTGGAAATTTATTTTCAGTCATGCCACTCCTTTCTCACTCCGGACTGCAAGCCCTAAAAGTTATTGTCCCAGTATTTTCCTTTCCTTTCTCACCTTCAGGTTCCGCTTGGCTATCTACAATCAATCTATATTTTCAATTTGACGTATTCTCGTCATTCGGTCACTCGTTGAAAATTAGGTTTGGGTTAGACGACTAAAGGAAGTGATCTGATTGGCTTCTCAGACCACTGCTATTTCGCAGATGTTGAGCAGTTTTTGCAAGGCAAGAATTGTTCTGTCAAAATATATCAACACAAATACTTCGTTTCTTCGTAATACTTCTCTGTGAATGCCTCCCAATTCAAGAGCATGCGCTTTAGAAACTACTGCAAGTAGACCGTATTCTGTGATCCCAAAAGTCGCTTAGAAAACGATTTTCTATTTCAGAACCATCCTCAGAATTACGAAAAACCGGTTTCATATTATTCTGACACTGCAATCGACCAACGAAAAATTCGTTGGCTCAAGCGTGATTTGAACTCGCATCTTCGGGTGCAGGCATTAAAATACGCAATTTTTACAAGGACACACTTTGCCTTCAGAGGCGTATTTTTGGTATAAATGCGCAGACGGACCGAGTGGCGAAGCCACAAGTTTAGCGTCGAAGACGCGAGCTTTTAAGGGGGTCTCTGAAATGGCATTTCCAGAGTTCTGAGAACAGAATTTGCAAAATCTTTGGCCATTTTGCGTGGATTACATTAATATATTTTCAGTTTAATATATTTTCAAGTACACACTTTTCAATTTACAAGGGCAAATTCGCCTTGTACAAGGACACAAAGTGTGTACAAGGACACGCTATTTTAATGCCTGTTCGGGTGGTTTAGGCCGCCGATCTCTCGCCGATATCTAGACCGCTGCTCGAGTCTCATCCAATTTAAGTGCACGAAATATTTTCGTGAAGACTTACGCTTGTCTTAGAGGACGCGCAGTATTTCAATTCTATTTCAGAACCATCCTCAGAGATACGAAAAACCACTTTCATATTATTCTGACACTGCAATCGAACAACGAAAAATTCGTTTGCTCGAGCGGGATTTGAACTCGCATCTTCGGGTATCTAGACCGCCGCTCCATACCCATTGAGCTATCGAGTCAACGGGGATTGGTAGCGAGTCTTATCCAATTTAGGTGCACGAAATATTGTCCTCCAAGACAAGCGTTAAGGCCTAATTCCACGACGAGCGAAATGCGAAAAATTTCGCGCGATAACACACTTGTGCGAAAATTTTCTCTCGTAGTGATTTCCACAGTTGAAAAAAAAATTCGCCAAAACACAATCATTTCATTGGTTTCGCTATTTTGTCATCCAAAACACAAGCATTTGATTGGCTCCGCTATTTCCATTTCGCAACGGAGTAGAAACGAATTCAACTACCCGGCGAAGAGAAATATTTCGCAGAGAAACACTCCAAAATCTTTTAAAGTTTGTTCATTCACTGCAACCAGGTATATCAATCATATTTCGCACGCTACTCTGGTTTAAATAAATGAATTACAAAGCCCAGTCGAATTGTAATCAAGACCCAACGTTTCGACACTCCAGTCTAGTGTCTTCGTCAGGGGTGATCTGAAGTTGCAATCGTGACTTCTCAAATACCCAAGCGATGACGTCACCTGCCATTCGTGGAATTAGACCTTTAAGTCGTCACGAAAATATTTCGTGCACTTAATTGGATAAGACTCGCTACCAATCCCCGTTGACTCGATAGCTCAATGAGTAGAGCGGCGGTCTAGATACACGAAGATGCGAGTTCAAATTCCGCTCGAGCCAACGAATTTTTCGTTGGTCGATTGCAGTGTCAGAATAATATGAAACTGGATTTTCGTATCTCTGAGGATAGTTCTGAAACACTGCGCGTCCTCTAAAACAAACGTTATGTCTTGGAGGAAAATATTTCGTGCACTTAAATTGGATAAGACTCGCTACCAATCCCCGTTGGCTCGATAGCTCAATGGGTAGAGCGGCGGTCTAGATACTCGAAGATGCGAGTTCAAATCCCGCTCGAGCCAACGAATTTTTCGTTGGTTGATTGCATTGTCCGAATAATATGAAACGATTTTCGTTGCCGCCCTTCGGGAAGTACTTTAAATTTACTTGACTCTATAGTTTTTTATACACTGAGTACGAATTCATGTACTTGTTGTCACTCGCATAAACCCGCAGTTTTTTTGTATTCAGCTAAACAATACTGAACAATATTGTTAACAACCAGGAACAATATGGGTAGCAAAATATAGTTCAGGTCTGTTTTCAACAACATTGTTACAGGCTAGGCGTTTTTGCTGCTGTGCAGCTGTAATCCTCAGCAAGCCTCCACAGAGTATTGCAGGCTCAGGGTTCGAGATTGTAATAGTTGTTGATAATATCTCGTATCAGTCCATCCCCGCCATGCGTTGTCATTTACTTATCAATTTCTTTACTATGTTTTCTTTAGATTCTACTTGGTTTGCCTTTAATCAAAGCTATTTTCAGTTTGTGGCAACTCGAATCACACAAGCAGAAGCAAGAAAAGTTTGTTTGGAAAAGAAAGGTGACCTGGCATCCACATCCAGCCAGGAAGAACAGACATTTCTGTTTAAAACGTTTGTGGAAACAAATTCTGCTGGTAAGTAATGATAAATTCAAAATGTCCGATAAATGGAAAAGTGATAAATCAAAAGTAATCTGCGATCGATGTAGTTATTTTGCTTATTATGTCATGTATAATGGCCAATTAGCTTCTGACTTCTAAATAGATCACACAGTTAACAAAATCACTTGAATGTTGAGAAGAAATATTATTAGCTTCAGTTTCGGGTTCGCAAATACCGCTATCTAAGCTTCCGATGTGAGTTTGAGCGTGATTACTCATTATTTATTCCATGTTATAATTGTTTTCTAATATTGACTCCCGTTCACGAGTTATTCAGTTACTCCAAATTTTGTCAGGAAAACCAGGGGAGCATGAATAATTTATTGCTTGCAGGAACTCTGCTATTTTATTTATTTTTCCGCAGTGGGACGTGCTATCCATGGAGTTAATAAAAATTTCAATTTCTTATATCTGCAAGGCACGGGACATGTAAATCAGGACAAATCTTTATGCGGTTTGCAAACATTGATTAAACATTAATTTCTTTTGAATTTTCATCATGAATTATTAATGAGTATTACTTTAGACAGTCATGGCGGTTGATTGTTTGATTGATTGATTGATTGATTGATTGATTGATTGATTGTTTGATTGATTGATATAAGGTACGAGGCGAAGCAGAGTATCTTTATATAGGTCTGATAAAACACGCATTGCGAATGTTTTAAATTTCTTCAAAAACAATCGACCTAGGAAGTTCATTGGCCAAGTAATTTTCAAAAATAAGTTGCGTAAGTCGAGAAAATCAAAGTTAAAGTTGATGTAAATCAAGGGGAAATATTTATCGCATATAAAGATACGACACGCTTATGATTTTTGTGTTATTTGGCGCGGATAGCATACGTGAAGAAAAACTCTCCCAACGTTACCACACCCTGGCAGAATTTGCTTACGCAAGTATAGTCATGGGTAAAATTTTGCTTAGCAAATAGCTGTTATCTGCGCCGGGCTTGCGACAACATTAAGAGGTGTTTTAAATGTCCGTTTATTTGTTTAATTGTGTTCGAATGTTTGGTTATTGTTTTAATTCTATATCATTATGATTCAGATCTCAAATGACGTACAATTAAATCCAGGTCCGGGTTCATCACTTAATTTTGCACATTTAAATGCTAGAAGCTTGAATATAAGAGTTGAGGAATTGTCGTCAATTATTCTAGGCCAAGATTTTGATGTTGTTGTATTATCCGAAACGTGCATGGTTGAATAGTTAACCTGCACCAGTAGCACGAGAACGAACGAATATATGCAGTTACTGTATGCAAATGTGTTTTGATCAAAAGCTGAAATCTGATTGGATTGCGTAATTAATCTCTTACGCATCGGACGACTAAAGAAGAGAGCGAACCAATATGTACTAATTAAATAAACAAGAGTTAACTTGCATGATCATGAGTCATGACATTTTTTTACAAATTGAAAAGGCAAAGGGAATAAAAATATAAAATTAAGACAAGACGTAAATGTAGTTATTTGTACTAAAAAAATTGACACCGTTGCAATAATACGCATATAGCATTATTAAGAACTGAAAACTGAAGCATGGCTCCGAGACGAGTTAATTAATAAATGTCAGACGCATTAATTAATAAATGAACAATACAGACGAATGGTCCAGTTTGGGATATTGTTATAAATGACATCAGATGAATGTTTATGAACATGCCCGACAACGTGCAGGAGATGTATTAAGTTAAACATAAGTACAGTTCTTGCTGTTAAGACAAGCAGGTCGTACGTAGAACGCACGAAAAAGCTGCCCAATGGTGGCAAGTAATGAGTTTAATTAAAGCGTCGTTTCTCTCATTGACATTGGTAGACTCTTCCATTGATGCGTTAATTACTGGCAAATATATTATATATCATGAAGAAAGAGTTGAAGACATTATAGCTACATAAAACTGTCAAAACGGAGATTTCCTAACTTGTTTATAGCTTATAATTTGTGTTCCGTGCCGCGGGTAGACTGTACTGCCGTTTCTATCGCTGTAAATAGCAATGGTCAATGTATGTGTGATTTATTGCTGTGTTGATTGCATTTAGCCCTGATCTATATTTACTGTAATTTAAACAACAAACAAAAGTTTACCTGTATTATAATTAGTTCATCTCATAGCCAATAGAAAACGTCCATGGCCGTCAATCCTGGGGGGAATGGGTGGGGGGGGGACACGTCCCCCAGTTTTTGGAGTGGGGGACGAATATCTAATTATCCCCCCCCCCCCACTTTTAAATTTTGACATGTTTAATGAAATTTTATTTCTTGGTTATCTAAAAACCTAATGCATGGTATGCTATTCATCAAAAATTGTGATTGAAAGGAAGACATTTAATAAGAAGAAGTACAACGTATGATCAGTTCTGTAGTCGTTGGGAGCAAATACTGACATCACATATATTATGTAAAATTGTAAATACGTACTTAAAAATAATTGAGTTTTAACTGAGTTTCCCTTACATAGATGATTATCATCAAAATAAGGTTAATTTAAGGTGGCTCGATATGGTTTTTAAAAAAATGGAAAATTCACGATTTATATGCGTACAATTATTACTTGTTGATAAACAAAAAATGCCTTGCTTACATAAAAAAAACAACTAGGGAGTTTGAATTTTTGCACAAAAATTACGCAACTGCCGTTGCTATGGCAACAATGACGTTTCAAAATGGCGGATATTTTGGCTTTAAAGTAATTTAACTCGTAAACGACATCGGTGACCCCCAATTTTATTTTAAAAAATTATTTCTCTTAGTATAATCAATTATTTTGACAATTTAAAAAATTTCTGTGGAGCCAATAAATATTATTATGAATAATCACCTTCAGCTCCGCAGACTTTTTTTAAATTGTCAAAATAATTGATTGTACTAAGAGAAATCACTTTTTAAAATAAAATTTGGGGGTTACCGATGTCGTTTACGAGTTAAATTTCTTTAAAGCCAAAGTACTCGCTATCTTGAAATGTCATTGTTGCCATAGCAACGGCAGCTGCGTAACTTTTGTGCAAAAATTCAATCTCTTTAGATGTACTTTTGTATAAGTAATTTACTTTTTATAATAGTTTTGTTTGTGGAAACACCACGTAAATTTATTACTGCAAAGCTTTCGATCCGTAAGCCAGGATCTTCATCAGTGCTAATAATATATATTATTAGCACTGATGAAGATCCGAGCTTACGGTTTGAAAGCTTTGCATGAATAATAAATTTACGTGGTGTTTCCACAAACAAGACTATTATATGTTTTATCGCCATGCAAACATACAAAGAACTTACTAAGGTACTTTTTGTTTATCAACAAGTAATAAGCATGTAAATCGTGAATTTCCCTTTTTTTAAAAACTGTATTGAGCCACCTTAATAGATTATTAGCATTAAAAAAAGGGTGAGAACATGTTAGGCTTCGTCGAGAGTGACGTCTGTCCACAGGCTAGGACATTTTGGTTTTTAGCGGATTTTTTCACATGGTTAAACATGGATTTAAGATCATGCACAATGTAATATAACTTTATAAGTGCCTCCAAAACGCTGGGAATGCCGTTTCAGTGTACCAAAATTTAGAAAAATATTTCGGGTAGGATACCTCCGGACCTTCCCAGTTTGGAGTCCGCCCACCCACCCCCACTTTTCGGGATAGATTGACGCCCTTGAAAACGTCTATCATACGAATGAGTATACGATTCTGCCGTTCAGTTAATGAGGCTATTCGTTCGTTCTCGTGCTACGGTGTAGGTTAACTATTGAGCGCATTTCTAGTGGTGAATTCACTATTCATGGTTACATGGCCGTCCCTTTTTTATACACAACTCTCTCGTAGTGAAACGTAGAAAGGACATAGAAATTAGCGGCATATGGAACTACTTTGGATTGAGTTTAGGGTAAGCGAACATTATTTTTTATGCGGTGCTTGTTATCGTCCTCCAGACACGAACGTGCTTCTTTGATAAATTTCTATGATCATTTTCAGCTTGTTCCCGACAGTATACGATTGTTACCTAAAAAATATAATTTGGTGATTCTAGAAGTCCCGAATTCACATTATGATAAAAATAAATCCTCATGAGAGCACTATACTGCAACATTAAAATTTATTAGTTTTTAATCGGCAATAATTTCACGTACACAATTGATTAATAAGCAAACAGGATTTATCCGGCACCATGCAAGCAGCACTTTTAGATGTTTTGATTACAAATTGTACCAAGTATTTTTAATAAAACAGGAACTCGTAGTCCTCGTTATGTGTGTGACAACTCGCTTATCTTTGCTCAAATGAAGTTTAGAATTTCTAAACAAAATGTTTTGAAAGAGAGATTTGGGATTTTAGTAATGTAAATACTTCTGCTCTAAATGATGCATTACTATTAATTAAAATTATTGGGGGTCGCTTTTCGATACTGTATTTGATATTGACTATGTTTATGATATATGGTTTAAAATGGTTTATGATGTTGTCAAAATATATGTATCATTAAAATATGTTGTCATTCGACCGAGGGATCAACCATGGATGAATAGTGAAGTTCCCGAGCTATTCGTTTAACGTGATAGGTTATAAAATATTCATAATATTAGGCGCCTAATAGTCTCCTACGCAGCCTGTTCGCGGGTCCGAGGTTTTCTCCCCACTAACAGGCTGCTTACTGCAGCAACACATTCCATTCCGATTGTTTAGCCAATCACAGCCCGAGTACCAAAATCAGGAACTCGTTCGCGCTTAAATTTAATATTACGAAACAAAGATGGCGTCGTATTATCAAGCATTGTATGAAGTCGCCCATTATTTCGTATTTCTACTTTCAACGATCATCAGAGGAATGCGATTCGAGCAATAATTAAAGAAAAATGAGATGCGTTTGTCAACACGCCTACTACAGGCTTCGATAAATCGATTTGCCTCTCATGTGATGTGATCGCCTGTTCCACGAATAATGCCAGAGCGGTAGTTCATGGAATACCAGAGCCCAGAGGCATTGCTCTTTAAAAATCATTGACTATTTAACTGCCTTATTTATGTTTCAGTACCACCATTTTAATAATTTATCAGATTTCTTTAAAAATTATTTTGTGTGAAACAACAAAATTCATGAACATAAGTCATAACACTACGAAAATGCTTCAAAACTTCACGAATGTTATGAAAGGACAAATTTTTTTAATTATGTGAAACACAGTCTCTCGTATAAAGGAGATGATATATCTCCAAAAGCAAATTAAACAACACTTTGCTATACACAATTGACAATTTATACCATAAGGCATAATAACTATAAGACATGCGATAAAACATCTGTAAGACTGTATTAAAAAATATATATGTAATACTTGAATAATATATAGCACTTTAGTTTAGTATTTTGTTGGTCATTGTTGCCAAGTCATTGTAAAAATTTAAATGCATCGCCAACTTTAGTATTAATTTATATACTGATACGAACATTGCCCTTACAGTAACTTCTTTTTCTCTGTTGTAAATACAGACGTACATATTCTTCAAAACGTCTCATTTTACATATTGTATGTATGACACTATGATGTCTATGTGATTTAATAATTATTACAAATGAACAGTATTTATAAAACCAGAAGCCTAAAATCTAAATAGAAAGTCTACGAAGATGTCTATAGTAGGTATCTAGGCCAGAATCGTTTAAAGATAAATTTTAAGTAACTTTTTTATATATGGGGAAAATTAAATAAAAATATATAATATATATATAAGACCATATAAATTTGTAAACACCTATTTTGAACGACAAGTTGTCAATTTCGAATTACTGCATGTATTCAAATTAACACGAAATCAAATATAAAAATATTTATATACATTTGCTAGTTAAAACTATACTCTATAGCAATGTACTTAATGATACACCGCTTAAATGCTACTCATATATAGTTTTAGTTTTAATTTAGACTTTCAAAAGTGCTCGGGAGTCGGGTTTTATTTGAGCGCATAAAATCCGAACACTTTTGAAACCATAAAAGTCTGAGAACTCGTAATACCCGCGAGCACTTTTGCTTTACAGCATATTTTTTGTACAAGCCTAAATAGCCTCCGTTATATAACCTCAGTCGAGCGAGATTATTTGAGAAGGATACCCAACACCTCTAAACCCAACACAATAGGCAAGGCGGTCGCGCTCATTTTATCATTTCTTTGCTTGAGCAGCACTGAGCCACATTACATAGCTGCTCAAGACTGAATTTCTTTAGATCATCCTCTCCAGTTTTTTTAACACAGTCGAGAGTTTCTTTCTAAAACACAAATCGCTAACTTCCTGGGAAACGATGTCAAGCACTTTCTGTGTAACCACCTTGCGGACGGGTTGCATTTCATATTACTGCCCGGCTGCCGTATATAGAGGTCCATACAGTAACGCTTTCCCCAATGTATTGTAGGTATCACACACAGTTTTACTCACAGTTCCAAGGAGTAGGAACGAAATATGGGACGATAAAAGCTGGGTCCATGGATTGTGTCTTTAATATTAATAGTGTAACTTTCAGCCTCAACTAGACAACAGCCGTTTCATAACAGACGTTTTTGCAAATAAATAAATCGTTACTGTCAGAATATTGTTCACATCAACATTTTATACTGATACCTTGATCAGATCAGCTATACCAAGGGCACTTCTCCCGTCATACAGAATATAAACAAGTTGATTATTTCAAACAGGCGTGTAATATATTTTAACAGCAGTAAACACTGAGATATATTAATTAGTCACTACTGAATTTGGCGGGAAGCATACGTCATGCCGTTTCCTGATTGGTCAAGTTGAAACAATCGGAATGGAATGTGTTGCTGCAGTAAGCAGCCTGTTAGTGGGGAGAAAACCTCGGACCCGCGAACAGGCTGCGTAGGAGACTAGGCGCCTAAGCGATCAGTTTATTCTTGGGAATCCTACAGAAGGCGACGTAATTTTACAACGAACCTAATTGTAGGCCAGCAAAACAATTTTATTACCATAAGTTAAATAAAGTATTATTATTCTTTATATAAAGAATAGTATAGCATACTTATTAGTATTCTTTATATAAAGAATACTAATAAGGACACGACTACAATAGATACTGCCTTATTGGTATTCTTTATATAAAGAATACTAATTAGGAGTGTTTTATCAGGCTTAAAACCATTGCATGTGACATATTATGGTTGATATGGTTTTCCAATAAGCTTATGAATTATTAATGAGTGTTTGAACTGTCTTTAATTATTAAACATAGATAAAATAATTTATTGCATTCTTTAAAATACAACCGTTTCTTTGATTTTTCATTAAGCAGATGAGTTTCTATTTCACATGCTAAATTACAATTAGGTTCTCGAATGTGCTCTTAATATAGTGTCTATTAATTGTGCAGCCTCTCCTATTTGTGTGTGTACTGTGTAAGCAAAGGAAAAGAAACTGTAAAACATTACCTACTTGAATGTCCCCGTTATGCTACTCTGCGTGCGACTTTGCTTATCTCTGCTGCACGGCTTTTTGGGCAATCGTGGTTGAAGTGCAGCGACACTGTAAAGATAAACTGTGTTTTAAATTGACTTGAAGTTTTGAATTATGAAAACACATGTCGTTTTGCAGCATCCGCCTTTGATGTTTAATATTCTTTCTATATTAATATTCTATTTTGTGTGAGTATATGTCAGTGTACCATTTGCGTATGTCGTGTGTTTAAATGTTATATATGTGGTGATGTAAGCCCCCCTCCCATAAGCAGTTTGCTTCTAGGGTAAACATATGAGTGAACATCAAATAATAAATATTTAAATAAAAAAAGTGTTAGTTATTAACATGTTGGTAACTATTTCCTGTATCTATTTCAATTTTAGCAGGTGATAAGGTATTTGTTGGCCTTAACGACATTGCTGAAGAAGACACGTTTGTTTGGACAGATGGTTCTCCAAACGTTTATGCGAAGTTTCTTAATGGTCAGCCTGATAACTGGGGGAATAATGAAGACTGTGTTATTATACCAAAGCCTAATAATGGAGATTATAGAGACGACCCCTGTGATGCCACACTTACGTTCATTTGTGAGACAAATTATGAGTCTCTTTATAAAGCATAAAGTAAATGTTTACAATAAATGCTGCTTTTCAGTTGAGCCTCCTCTTTACAAATAACATATTTCTGAAATCCTTGGTAATAGCGATGAAAAGTTGAAAAAGTCGGTTGTTTGCTTTTGGTTGTTTGTTGTTTTTTTTGTCTTTTTAGTTTTAAAAAATTATAAATCCCTTCTTCTTAACAGTCAGCTATAATAGGAAGCATTCCAAATAAACTCATTACCCATATAGTAGTTCAATATTAATTATGGACCCAACAAAGAAACACAAGAACTTATAATAATCACTTGTATATTTTCAAACAATCGGAATATAATATTATACATTTTATAAAATACAGTTAGAAACCTTAATATACTTCTGCATCAGTTGTACCGTTCAATTTTCCTATTAACTTCATAATGGTAGTGGCGAACTCGAACCACTACGCACTCTTCGTTTGTAACATACTTTTTTGTAATTTAATGTAAATATATGTATGGTATATTAATAATAATAATAATAATAATAATAATAATAATAGACTTTATTTAAAGAAGGTATTACAAAAACCAGTTTAGCAAAGCTAATCTTACACTGGGCCTTCAAATATTAATAATAAATATCTTTGTAAGCAGAAATGAGTGCAAATAAATTGATTCTGATTCTGTGTCTTTTTCTTTAATTTCGAATTCGCTCCTTTTAATAACGATTTATTGACAGGCTTTACAAAACCAGTTAATGTTTCGCCTGCCTTCAGGGCCGTCGCGAAGAGCCCTGCATGGCTCCTAATTAAACAAGTCCATCGAAAAATTCTAGAGAATCTAATTTTGAGGTTTAGCTATATAACAATCTTGTTATTATTTAAAAGTCAATATTTAAAACGCGCAGCATAAATATTTAGTTTTGGAGTAGTAAATAAGTTAAAGATGAAGCAATTAGTTTTGTGGATCATTAGTATGCATGCATGCATACTGTATATTTGCGTGTTTTGGTAAATTGTAGTTTGAATGCGCTTTGAACGGATGTGCTGAAAGCCAGAAGTATCCTAAATTGGCTCTTCGCATATCGGAACATAAGCCAAAACAATGAGTCACTGTGAGATAGCATGGGAAATATGAAAAGGAACATTCCGAGGTAGATTTAACTTCCACTATAACTGACACTACCTCTTACTGGCTTAATGTTATTGGCTCATTAATGGTCTATTAATTGTAGCAATAGGAGTAGTGGAAGTCAAATCTGAACATCGCTAATCTACCATTGAGTGTTCTGCCTGTTATGTAACTGTAATTCATACTTTCGAAATTCCGTAATTGCGGTTGTTACGTACCACAAGCCGTTTTTGTTTCGCGTAAAAAAGTGATTATTTGAGAGTTCCCGTGATTTTCACCTATTTCGGATTTTATTTGCTCATCTAACCCAATTCAGTAACAAACCCGCGGGAAACACACATTCGAATCTCAAACTATTTATCGTGTAAAAAAAGTTGTTTGTGAGCCATACTTAATAATGGTGATTCTTCTGTTTTGCACTACGCACTTTTACTGCGCATATCCAATAACAAATCTTGATAAATATGTAGTGAAACTGCAATGTAAAGTGAAAGACTAAGGGCAAAGAGAACAACACTCTACAGCATTGATTAGGCGTGCTTCAGGAAATATATGCCTTCAAAAATGATAGACGCCTGGCTCGGGCCCCCTGTGCAACTAACGCTAAATGCATCATGTTGCAAGTTTAACTCTTGAGTATCTCTTTAATAATGTCTGTGAGCCTACTTTTTTATTTTATATTTTTGTTCTTCTATACGTTTTACATGTCATATAAGAGAATAAGAAAAAAATCATTTCTACAAATTATAATATTTTACAATTTTCGCGCATGCTTCCCAAAGTCTGAAAAGATGAGAAAAGACATTTTTGCACCACGACAATACACACCAATGGTTTTTGATTTGCAAAAAATGATACCATGTTTTCCTTTATATAATCACTAGCTAGACATTTTTAGTAGGAACCTTGTTAATAATATTAAGAAAATTCAATAACAGTTGACAGGGAATATTTTTAAGGCTTGATCAAACTGATTATCAATTTCCCGTTTGTAATGCAAAATGACTGAAAAACGGAAAACTTCGCAAGGCTATATCCGCATTTTACAACATTTCGCAACGAAACTTCGGAATATTACTAATTTTGTGATGCTCTTTCAAGCTGTGATGAAATTTTTGTCCCAACTTGTCTAGATCAAAATTTCACTCAAAAGGGGAAAGGTCTATTACCAACGGCAAATAATAACAGAATCACAACAACGGTAAACGAAACTAAAATATCACGATTATATTATGTACTATTTCAGATATTCTCAGAAATCAGAATGATCAAGAATGAAGTTCTAGCTCGTAAAACTATTTTCTAACAAAACAATTCAGTATGATGTCACGCTGTAGTATTCATGTCCCCTACTTCGGAGAAGAGATATATCTTAGAAAAGTAGCTCCCCTCCATGTGAACATGCCTACGATTTGCGTTCTGCAAGCTGCAAGTGCCGCTATATATTATTTAGTTTTTAAAGCCGTAATTGCCGCCCTGCATGAATGAGCTGTTGTTTACAAATCCTTGTTGAGCTCTCTCGTTTCACGATGTCTTTGTCTGTATAAAACTGTAGGCAAAGCAACAGAGATCTAAGTAAAATATATTTCTTAAAATTGCTGAAATTTTACATTCTCCCTCCTTACATATATTTGCCAATATTTTTGCGAGTATACACGCGTCACTTGTTTATATCCACCAAATGTCGGGGCTTAACTCGAATGCTTAAATCGTTAATTGACTTCGAGTTAAGCCCCCGGTGAAAAAGGGCGTGGCAGGGGCTTAACTCGAAAAGAGCTTAACTCGGAGGGCTTAACTCGAAGGGCTTAACTCGAAGGGCTTAACTCGAAAAATACCTACCCCGGCGAAAAGTGGCTAATAATTGTTCCGGGGGACATCTTCCAAGTTGTTTTTCCGCGTTTGACTTCACTATGAAAAATATCTATAGAAATAAACCACATTTACTAAATTTGTGTACACGTGTATACGTTTGAAACGAAATAAAATATTCTTGGAAAATCGATGTCTAGACATTATTGGTCCACCGAGGAATACAATTGAGTCGCTTGAATCAAGAAGGAACTTTTTGACACGCAAAGAATATAATAACATACATAATTTAAAAAATCACCCATGTAAAAGATTATTTCTAGAACTAACGTGCATGAATATAACATAAGGACAGGTTGCAACCTACTTTTGGCGCAAATTTCACATACGGACAGCATAAACAATCATTTATACCGAGAGCAGCTTGATTGATAGGCTCAGATTCTATAGCCGTTTGGTTCTCGGCATTCGCCTCACTAACGGCTGGATCAATGAGTTTCGGAATTGTTTTGATTGACCAATCACATTACAGCCCCCCAAAATTGTGGGGGAATAAAGTAGTATTAATTAATGCATAAATTTAACACAAAGGTAATAAATTAAATATGGCTAAAGCGTATTGCTGAAACGTTCGAGGAAGCGTTTTGCACTTGTGCTCATTTTTAAAAAGATCTGGTGAACAATAATATTACGTGAACTACATGCATGGGTCAAAGCGACATTTTTCGCGGAAGAGTAATTCGACAATTTTCACGGCAAGAACTGCATTTAGAAGTCTCTCTACGTTACTCGTTGAGGCCTACTCTGGGGCGGTAAATCGCCTTAAATCGCCTAAAATCGCCCAAAATCGCATTACATCGCTGGTTAAAATGGTCAAATTTCTCTTAAATCGCCTAAAATCGCTTTAAATCGCCCAAAATCGCTTAAAATCATGGGCGTACTGGGTGGGGGGGGGGGGACAGGGCGACCGCCCCCCAGTTTCTGACTGGGCGGTCGCCCCCTGGCTTTGTTGGGCAAACAAAGCCAGCCGGGCAATATTCGCTTCACAATCGGGCAATATTGGTTTATTATAGAAATAAATGGGACAAATTCTGTCAATTTTGTGGGAAATTCTGTCAATTATTTGGGAAATATGCTATCTAATAGGAATTTTTTGTAATCACTTCTCCCCCCCCCCCCCA